TCTTATCAACACCCTCAGCGGGAGTCGAACCGCGACAGTGCAGGACGGTAGCTTGACACGCTAACCACTTAGCTACACTACCACGAGCGCCTTCTGAGTCACAGGGCAAATGTGAATTTTCAAGGAAGGCCAGGCCTTTTTGCCATATCATATTCATTTGGTGGAATTGTCGATGAAGCAAGCGTACATTTGCTATCACAATCGACTAATATATTTTATTTTTCGAATTAAGTATTGTTTTTCGTGTCTACCAGTAAATCAGTAATATGAGATTTATTTAAGGTGATGAAGGAAAAGCAAGGCTATGCGAAATTCAATGGAAACGTCACTTAACTCATATCATTGTGGGAAAATTCTTCTTCTACCAGTCCTTCATCACCTTAAACGAAATTGGCTGAATACATCCCATATTACTGATTTACTGGTAGACACGAAAAATAATACTTTATTCGACAAATAAATGCAATTTGGATATAAACAAAATTGACCTTATTTATCTAATAATAGCGAAAGTTTTGTGAAGAACTTTTGAAATATTTTTTCGCAAAAAATGTTACCTTAAAAATATCGCATTCGTCGGTTAAGGGCTAACTATAACTTGAAGATATGAAGACCGAGATGTTGTGGCCTCCGGTATGGTCGCAGTCTCTTTTAGATTTATAGAAGTGGGTTGACCTCGTTGTCGCAACTTGGTCTTGTTGTCAGGGTGACTTAGTACAACGCACCTAGCCTGAAGTCGTCTGCCATAGTAGTCGTCATAATTCCCAGCATCAGACAGTGGACTTGGTACATTCCCAAACGTTTCGACGGCATAATCAGTGAGTTGTGCCATTCTACGCACCAAGCTACGAACTCGTCAAAGAGACAAGTGAAGTCAATCCCTCGACAAACGTTCTGCCGAAAAGGGTTACACTATCACTCCTCTCTTTGTCCTGGCCTATCTATCTACTCTTTAGCCTATTATAAAACTCCCGCCATATCACAACTTCTCACATGTTTACATTCCACTCGTCCAAATGTGTGCCCTTTTGTGGCAAATCGAATATGGTCTCATCACACCTGCTATTTCCCCCGATCTTTAGATCGGCTAATCCTATTCGGATATGCAATCCGGATCCCCCATGGTCATGTAGATTCGTTCCTTCTCTTTCTGGTTGACCGATTTTACTCGGCTCCAGTCCCAGTGTGCATTTCACTCTATACGCTATTTCTCAAGGCCCTAGATGCACGTACGCTGCCGTCCTTACTGTTCCTTCATAGTCCCCGTTCTGCCATCGGCTTTTCACGACCAGTATACTTCTTTATATTACTTCGCTAGGGTAGCCGTTGCCGAGAAATATCCTAGCCAATTTGTCCAACTCCTCGCACAAGAATTCCACATCCGTTAAACGTAGGCTTCTGATGATCATGCTCTTCATTATTCCTATTGTTAGCCTGTAATTGTGGTGGGAGTGAAAATGGAGTATTATCCCAACATTCGACTTTCTGAACAATTTCTTTTTGTGCGTCCCGCTAGAGCGAATCACCTTAACAGCCGGGAACGGTAAACACTCACCTTGCTCTACTCCCATCGTGAATTTTAGTTTTTCATCAATCTGGTCTATAAACTTCAAAAAATCTTCCCGTTTTTCTCATCCATGCCACCAAAGTGCGGAATAATCTTCTAGATACCGCATGAGCGTAGATAGCCAGGCCAGGACAGAAAGAAGAGTGATAGTATAACCGTTTACGGCAGAACATTGGTGAAAGGATTGACTTCACTTGACTATGACTACTTCGTAGCTTGGTGAGAATGGTAGCACTCCCTGATGATGCCGACTACGATACGGGCGAAACGTTTGAGAATGTACAAATATTTGGACTTCCCATGGGATCGCCGCTCTCACCACTTTTGGCAAACGTATACATGACCAAAATAGAAAAGAATTTCAAGATGGAACCGCTACAACTGACAGTGCTCATGTGGGACCTGGATGATTACTTTGCCATTTCGTCACATTGAAGAGTTTAGGAAGTTTGTAGACCAGATTAATGTAAAAATTCAATTCATAATAGAAGTAGAGGAAGGTGAGCTGTTACCGTTCCTGGATGTTAAAGTGATTCACTCTAATGGGACGCTCAAAAAGAAATTGTTTAGAAAGAAGTCATATGCTGGGATAATACTCAATTTCCTATCACATCACAATTACAGGCTAAGGATAGGAATAAAAAGGAGCATGATCCTCCGAAGCCTACATTTAACGGATGTGGAATTCTGGTGCAAGGAGTTGGACAACTTGACTAGGATATTCCTCAGCAATAGCTATTCTAGCGAAGTGATACAAAGAAACATACTGGCAGTGAAAAGCCGATGGCAGAACTGAGACTATGAAAGCACAGTAAGGACGATAAAGGATTCACAAAAGTGGATATGCCTACCTTCCTGCAAACTGACTGAAAAACTACAGCCAATATTAAGGAATGTAATATTCAGCTGGCTATAAAAAAGAAATCAACACTTTTCACAAATCTACCGACGCAACATGAAAGGGTAGACAAATTGGATTGTTCAGGAGTTTACTGCATAGCATGCGGCGCGTGCAAACATAAATATATTGGCGTAAAAAGAAGAAAAATTAGCATAAGAATGAAGGAACATCATAAACTCTGCAAGAAAATGGATACCGAAAGATCAGAACTAGCGGAGCACATCGCACAGACTAGACACGAGATCAATTGGAAGGCAACAGAAAGAAGGGCCCCATACGGTGACAACACAAGGAAGAGGAAGATTATGGAG